TTTTTTTTTTGCGGTACACGGGCCTCTCACTGTTGTGGCCTCTCCCGTTGCGGAGCACAGGCTCCAGACGCGCAGGCTCAGCGGCCACGGCTCACGGGCCCAGCCGCTCCGCGGAATGTGGGATCTTCCCGGACCGGGACACGAACCCGCGTCCACTGCATCGGCAGGCGGACTCTCAACCACTGCACCACCAGGGAAGCCCTGGAGTTAGTGACATTTTACAACCGTAAATCATATTGTGGTTCCTACCTAGATCGAAAGCCATGGATGAATTTCTACCACTAGAATAACGTGGCTCCGAGGTCTTATGTGGTCTGGTTCCTGGCTACGTGAGACTTCACCTCTTACCATTTGTTCTCTCTGTTCTGTCCATATTAACCTCTTTGCTGTTCTCAGACCCTCTAAGTTCATTCCCTCCTCAGAGCATTTTGCACTGCTCTTCCCTCAGCCTGGAATGCTCTTCCGTCAGCTCTTCCCATGTCTCATTTCTGCAGATCATTTCAGTCGCTGATCATATGTCACCTCCTCAGAAAGACCATTGTTGGCCACCTTGTCTAAAGTAGACCTCTTCCCTGCTGTGTCCCTACCTTGCCTTATTTTTCTTCGTAGAATCGATCACTACCTGAAATTATGCATTTATGTATGCCTTTGTTTGCTAGGGCTGCCATAACAAAGTACCACAGACTGGGTGCCTTACACACCAGAAATGTATTTTCTCACAGTTCTGGAGGCTGGAAGTCCGAGATCAACATGTCAGCAGGTTCGGTTCCTTCTGAGGCCAATCTCCTGGGCATGTAGATGGCTGTCTTCTCCCAGTGCCCTCCCATGGTCCCTTCCCCATGCTTGTCTGTGTCCTAATCTCCTCTTCTTATAAGGGCACCGGACATACTGGATCAGGGCCCACCCTAATGACCTCATTTTAAGTGAATTACCTCTTTAAAGACCCTAACTCCAAATATAGTCATATTCCAAGGCCCTGGGGATCAGTACCCCAATGTGTGAACTTTTGGGGGGTTGCAGTTCAACCCACATCAATATATTTACCTGAGTTTTGTCCATCTCCCCTTTTGGGGTGAATTTCCGGGAGGACAGCCCCTTCATTAGGTTTTTTTTTTTTTCTTTCTGGGCCGCGCTGTGTGACATGCAGGATCTTAGTTCCCTGATCAGGGATCGAACCCGTGCCCCCTGCATTGGGAGCACAGAGTCTTAACCACTGGACCGCCAGGGAAGTCCCTAGTTTTGTTCTTGTATTTTATATATATTTTATAATGAGAGTTCAATTAAGATCTAGTGACTGAATGAGAGAATGCATGAATTAGCAGTGGAATAAAGGGGACTGGATGGTGTCTCTCCCTCGTCCGGATGCTTTTCCACCTCCAACTCCCTGATGCTGACCTGCGTGAGGTCAAGAAGGGATCACAAAGGGGCCATTGAGCCATATTACGCAGACTCCAGGCTGTATTCTCCAGGCCCCTGACTTAAAACCATGGGAGAGGGCTTCCCCGGTGGCACAGTGGTTAAGCATCTGCCTGCCAATGCAGGGGACACAGGTTCGATCACTGGTCCGGGAAGATCCCACATGCCTCAGAGCAACTAAGCCTGCAAGCCACAACTACTGAAGCCCGGGTGCCATAACTACTGAAGCCCGCACGCCTAGAGCCCGTGCTCCGCAACAAGAGAAGCCACCACAATGAGAAGCCCGCGCACCGCAACAAAGAGTAGCCCCCCCCTCGCCGCAACTAGAGAAAGCCCACGCGCAACAACGAAGACCCAACGCAGCCAAAATAAAAAATAAATAAAATGAAATAAATTAATTTTTTAAAAAAAGTTAAAAAACAAAACCATGGGGAAACTGGGAGTGTAGGGAGGAAGGAAGGTCAGAGATCAAGGTTGAAGTCAGACTCTGGGGTCTGAGAGGGGAGGCAGCCAGGATGCATGAGCCATGCATGACCATTGGCGTGTCCTATGTGACTATGTCCTATGTGACTGTGTCCTATGTGACTCCGCCCACCTCTGTACTTCCACTGCCCACCACCCTCCCCTCCCCCATCCTCTTTGCTCCACTGCACTGACTTTTCTTTTTTTCCCTCTAACACACTCTACTCCACCCTACCGCAAAGGCTTTGCACCAGCCATTCCTTCTGCCCAGAATAGCCATTGCTGTTTTGTGCATGGCTGGCTTCTTTTCGTCCATTTGGGTCTCGGCTCCAATGGCTTTTCTGATGGCACCATGTAAAGTCCCAGCCCCACCCCTGGATGTCACGGCCCTTCCCATCACTCTGTTTTTATCTCCTTCCTAGCGTGCATCACTGTCTGAAATTATCCTGTCTTCTCACATGTTTACTTTGGCAGTTACAACCTGGTCGCCCGCAGGCCAGCGACGGCCCATAAATGTGCTTTGTTTGGCGGGCAGTGTCTAAAGATTTCTCTGAGCCAATATTTAAAGATTGGGTGAATTCCCGTAAAAATCATAATCATTTAAAAAAATGCTAGCTGTTCTTGAAAGATCAGAAGATCTGGTCTACTAAGCCACCGTTTCTGACGGGCTGCAGTTGGCTGGAGCCGGGTTTGGGCTGTGCTTTGTCATGGTCCCCACCGCACCTGCCTGCTCACTTGTTTGGACTTTCTCATTGTCTACTGGAGACATTTGAGTTTTGCAAGCCTTGGTTTATTTGTGTACCATTTGTCTCCTCCAAGTAGAACATAGGTTCTGTCAGGTTAGGGTTCTTGGGACTGTCTTGTTCCTTTTTTTTTTCTTTAATCAAATTGCATTACATGACTGATTTTCTTTTCATTTTGTAATCCACCATCACTCTCTTTTCAACTTTATTGGAATATGATTGACAAGTATAAATTGTGTGTGTGTGTATATATATATGCACACACATATATGTGTATATATATATATATATATATATATATATATATATATATATATGTA